ATTCTTCAGACAGAAGAAGACTGTCGTTTTGTTCAAACGACCCTCGAATCATAGTACCTGTATGATTTTTAAGGTATGAGAGTGCAATTTCCGGGCACTTAGAGGTCCATATTCTCAAAATATTTGCACCTCAGTCCCATCTATGGTGGGCCCTAGGTCGTGTGGACTCTCACGCACCCCTACTTTAGAATTTAGAAAATAGTTGACGATTATAACGTGGCAACATACATAATGAAACTGTTAAGAAAAAGAAAAACATTTTTAACGGTAAGTAAATCAAGCCATTTGGGAGTGGGGGGAGCAAATGTAAAAAGTCTACAGCACCCGGTATTCCCAGGCGGTCACCCATCCAAGTACTAACCAGGCCCGACGTTGCTTAAATTCGGTGATCGGACGAGAACCGGTGTTTTCAACGCAGTATGGCCGTAGACATGTGAGTGGTATTTCCACTCATAGTTAATCTCGGCATATAGCATAATTATCCAATCCTGAAGCACTGTGATTGATGACGTTTCATATAAACGCCCGCTTGTCTGGCGGGGATTTCTTCTAACTCCCCTGACCACTCTGCTGCGCGAGTACATTTTTTACAAACACCAGTGTTGAACAATAAACCAACCATTTTACTACCGTACGGCACTAACTAGGATGCTTCAGACAGAAGACTGCCGTTTTGTTCAAACGACCCTCGAATCATAGTACCTGTATGATTTTTAAGGCATAAGAGTGCGATTTCCTTTTTACTTCAAGAGGTCCATATTCTCAAAATGTTTGCATCTCAGCCTCAACTATGGTGGGCCTGAGGTCGTGTGGACTCTCACGCACTCTTACCGCCAAATCGTCCATCCGCCCCAATCAGTAGGCTAGAATATCGCATATGCTTTCATTACATTTGTTAAGACACCACCCGAACACTGTATTATAAGGCTACACCATACACATTTTGTGGCCCTACTGCTCAGTGCAAGGCCCAGGTCCTTTTCTTTTATTGAAAAGTTGACGATTATAACGTGCCAAAATACCGTACATAATGAAACTGTTAAGAGAAAAAAAAAAAAAGAAAAAGAAAAACATTCTTAACGAACAGTAAGTAAACATCAATCGATTTGGGGGAGAAAATGTAAAAAGTCTACAGCACCCGGTATTCCCAGGCGGTCACCCATCCAAGTACTAACCGGGCCCGACGTTGCTTAACTTCGGTGATCGGACGAGAACCGGTGTTCATGTGGATGATATTTCCACTCATAGTTAATCTCGGCATATAGCATAATTATCCAATCATGAAGCTCTATGATTGATGACGTTTCATATCAACGCGCGCTGTCTGGCGGGGATTTCCTCTGACTCCCCTGACCACTCTGCTGCGCGAGTACATTTTTAACAAACACCGGTGTTGAACAATAAACCAACCATTTTACTACGGCACTAACTAGGATGCTTTAGACAGAAGAAGACTGCCGTTTTGTTCAAACGACCCTCGAACCGGCCTAACACCAGCGAATTAATTGCGTATTGTTGATATGAACACATAGTACCTGTATGATTTTTAAGGTATGAGAGTGCAATTTCCGGGCACTTAGAGGTCCATATTCTCCAAAATGTTTGCACCTCAGCCTCAACTATGTGGGCCCGAGGTCGTGTGGACTCTCACGCAGCCCTACTTTAGAATTTTGGGGAAAAATGTAAAAAGTCTACAGCACCCGGTATTCCCAGGCGGTCACCCATCCAAGTACTAACCGGGCCCGACGTTGCTTAAATTCGGTGATCGGACGAGAACCGGTGTTTTCAACGTAGTATGGCCGTAGACATGTGAGTGGTATTTCCACTTATAGTTAATCTCAGCATATAGCGAACACTGTATTATAAGGCTACACCATACACTTGTTGTGGCCCTACTGCTCAGTGCAAGGCCCAGGTCCTTTTTCTTTTAGTGAAAAGTTGACGATTATAACGTGCCAAAATACCGTACATAATGAAACTGTTAAGAGAAAAAAAA